GTGTTTTTATTATTATTTATTTTGTAAAATAATGAATAGTTTGCGTGAATCGTAAATTAAATATTATGATGTTATACACACTCGTTATGTTGATTGATTTATTAATTTGAAGTTGAGTAAGAATATTAATTAATATTTTTCTTCAGCTCGGATAATTATTATTGGCCTAGATGTTAATCCAAGCGAAAATCCTAAAATATACATTTTGGATATACATCGTGGTAGTTTTTTTTAATTACAATTTCTATGCGTTTTACCAGGTACTCATTTACATTACTTTTATTCATCATCGACATCATGAATAGCGCGTTACAGTTCACTTCTAGACTTGCAGAGTTTCCCATATTCTCTCCACTGAGCAGATGAGTTGAGATCGCAGTGTTGCTGTCCACTCTTAATCAAATGTGTAGTCCCTTAGTGAACACCCAGGGCTGTCGTTACCACACTATACTAAGTACCTATATGTGATACATCAACAGCCTATAAGTGGCCACAGACTGCTGACCAAAAGCATCTTCTTGCACGGACAACGTCGGAGCATTAATCGCTACGTTTTCTCAGTGCAGGTTGGCAAGTTCAAACTTATAATTAGAAATTAAAAAACCTGGTTTCCTCACGATGTTTTCCTTCACCGTTTGTCAGTGGTGTCTAAATAATCTTAGAGAGTACATATAACTCGGAAAAAGTTACATTGGTACGTTCAAAATTTCTCATTTCATGTTATAATAGCAATAGATAGCACCCACTTCGAGTGTTCATATCTAATACGTGTCACAAACCTTTGTAATTACCTTGATAGGGCTTCAAAACGACCAACAATGGTTGTCGTTTGCCTGATACATCTTCGAGGATTTAATTTATTGATACCTAGCTGTGTAGTAGTAGTAGAGTAGCAAACAGAGTATTCGATGTTATAACTAACAATTAACAATTTAACAGTAAAATTGTTTATTTTTAAAAAAGCATTCGCTTTTAACCCCTTGTTATGTATATACTACCTTATAAGCTCTCACTTATTCGGCGACGAAAATACTAAAGCACCCCAACCTACCCCAATCGCGGAAACACAGACAAACAATTTACGGCATATGTCCGTGCGGGGACGTGTCCTCCTCGTCCGTACAATGTACGATACAGAATGTTGTGCCGGTTTATCGGCAGAATTATACCGATGACGATTCGGTAGCTCACTTATCGCAGCATTTTGCACAATGTTTACCCGGCCCGGTACTTTCGCTATAAAATTCTTATCTACCCGCATTGCGAATCCGGGCGGTGGCCATTTCCATATTCAGATTGGCGTTACGTCGACAGCGATATTTCCTCATTTTTTTGCCGTCCGTCGCAGCGATCAGACGTATCCACTCACGTTCGGCGGATTCGGAAATGTGATAGCTTTGTTACAGTTTCTGTTATTGTTTTCTCTTCCTTCTCGGTACGTTTTCGGACATGGAATTGAATGTAAGAATAAATTCATTCAATGCTACTCTTTATTTCCAGCATGTACGCGCTGGAAAAGATGCTATAATTTAGAGGGAACTTGTCTAGGCGGAACATAGTATAAGTATAAATTTGTAATACAGACAGATCATACATCTTTGGATGATTTAAGTAAAACGAAATTCGCGAAAATGTAGTGGAACAAGCTCAATTAGCATATTCCCATTCAAGCAAATGCATTATTATTTAGGAATATTCTATCTTCCACAATTCATTAGCTAGTCCGGTAATGAATACGGCGAGCGGAGTAAGTTTCCACACATAATCGCGACTAACAATCGTACATTCGTGTAGGAGTTGGGAGCCACCTTCGGCCGAGTCCGAGCACACGTCCCGCGAGGATTTAGTGAGGCGTTCGTGTAACTTGGCGTACGCTCCAAACCATTTGTAAATAAAACGGAAGCGGCCCAAACTTGTATGCAAACAGGGGCGGAGGAACTTGCTCTAATAAAGTACAAACATTGTGGGAAATTTTGGCGCCCAACGCGGGCCACGGTTTGTTCGTCCAACCGCCTGTAGTCGCTCTGCAATTAGGGATATTTTAATTAACTTTGCGAGCGTTATGAACGACAATTCAGAATCCTATTCTGTTAATTGAATACGTGGCCCGCCCTCGAATGGGATTGCTGTTGTTTCCTAACGGCTATTCGTTTAATCCGCCCACCGTTAATTGATATTTCTGACGATGTAAGGTGTGTCTGATAAGTCTCTTACATTTATTGTTCAACAATTGCTTTGACAATGTGTTGTAACAAGCGGGTTCACGCTCGAGGTGACTCCTCGGAATTAAAATTAGATATGTTCGTAAACAGTCGTCTTTATAACGGTATGTAAGATAAGAGAATTGGGTTTTCTCGCACAGGTGTAGGGACCGCAGCCCCGCAAGATGGCGCTGCGAACTTCCACCCTAATTAATGTATCCCAGTGTAATTTCGCGCCGAGCAACTTTCGTGTACCGCTATATTAAATTCATAGTTACATTGTCTGATAGTGGAATTTGTTGCGAAGTTTGTCTTTGCTCACAAGTTGCGACGAAGAGGTAAACTAATTAACGTATTAGTGATTAACCACGTATTAATTGATACGCTTTTGTATTAGACAATAGCACCTGGATATATTGAAATATTGAGTTCTTGTGTTTTATGGATGGCTTGTTGGTCAATTTATATTACCACAAACTTAGTAAATACCGTCTTGGGTACCAATTTTGCGGAGGCAAAGTATATTTTGATTTCAAAACTGTCAGTGTACCTAATGGTGGAACATTCTTTCAAAAAAAGTATGTCTAGTTTTTGTGATCGGTAGGTAGATCTGGGACCTATATGTCAACTTACTGTTGAGATATAGTTAAACTAACAGCGTCTATCGAGCGTAAACCTATTATAGACGCAATGCCTATTTACTTAACTCGTCGAGTACTGTCATTATAGACACAATTATAGAACAATAGGTTGCGGTCACCGGTGACCGCTAGGTGTTTGACAGTTTAAGCACTATATAAAATTAATGTTAGATAGTTAAATAATCATCACCATCAATATCAACAGCCTATAAATGGCCACTGCTGACCAAAGGCCTCTTCTCACACGGCAAAGGTTTGACCATTAATCACCACGCTTGCTCAATGCGGGTTGGCAACTTATAACCCGGAAAAAGTCACATTGGCACTTGCCGTTGGTAGGTTTCGAAGCCGCACCCTCATGCATGAGAAGCGGGCATCGTAAACCTCCGGAGTCAAAGTATGGCTGGTATCAAATAGATATGTAAAAAAAAAAACTTATGTACCAGTGACAATCGATTACTTTACATAATATAGGTGTTATATTTCAATCACTATTTTAAATATGTATGTGTCGCAATATTTGTGAGCAATGAAGAGTAACATCACGTATCGTTAAATATTTAATTGTCCTTTGTTTAACAATACTTTAGCATGTCATTTAAATCTATTATTATGATACAGTAAATTGAAATATCTTTTAATTTGTCGTGCTTTTAAATGTTTCAAATTTTTTAAGTGCATTACATAGCGGTTTTGTTTACCGAATACAATTCACTAAGAGCTATTCACCACTAAGACATTTTCCTATGTTATGGTCTCACAATAATGTTCCCATGCCCAAAAAACAAAAAATTGTTCAATGCCAGATTCGTACCTGTGACAAGTTCAGTCATTATATTAGTTCCTAGTAACCCAATAAGTAGTAAAATACGACAAAATATTTCATATCAAACCAAGGTCTTCACACTCGACTCTGTATAGCTTACACATAACATAACATCACGCGTTTTATCCCCGAAGAGGTAGGCAGAGGTGCACATTACGGCAATTATTGCCACTGTACAAAGTAACATTCACTTTTCACTATTTATGTTATGAGTCCCATGTAATAGGGAGTGAGCCTATTGCCATATACCGGGCGCAATTCCAGACTCCGTGCTACTACTGAGATGTTTTATAAAACCCAGTAATACTTTGCCCGAACCGGGAATCGAACCCGAGACCCCTTACCCGGTTGTCACACTTACGAACACTCGTCCAACGAGGCAGTCTGTATAGCTTCCAAATAAATACTAACCCGAGGAAGTAACGCCATTTATAAACTTTTTATTAAGTACCTAAGGAAGCGCCCACACAATATATTAGTTGCACAAGATGGCTGAACGCAACGCAGCCTGTGCTCGTTCCAGAACACATTTTAATCAAACAATAAAAAAAGTTTATTGCTCAAATGGATTTATGAGTTGTTTATAAGTATTTATAACATGGATCGCGGAAGAAGTGGGTGGAATATGCCTGATATATCATGGCACAGGCCCGCTCTGTGCAGCACTGCATCCCGCCTGTTGCTTTATCTAGATGGTCGATTTGTGACGTAGCTTAATGGTATGAGTGGATGGTATTGCGTTGAATACTATACACTATGAATGCAGTTTTTTGTTCAAAGTTAGTTAGTACAAGTGTGTATGTTAGGGTAATTCAAAAACTATAACTAAACTATTTATAGCTGCACCACTAACCAGGAAGTATAAAATTTTAATATTTTCCTTCTATTTTAATCGACACGTACACTGTTGTCGACCTAATTTTTTTCGCCATCGTACGTGCGTCTTTCAACACTTAATGTACTGAAAAATAAAAGATGAGACCATCTCATAAACATGTCAAGTTATTAATGTAAGTCGGGCAATGTCCGCGTACAGTGCGCAGGCGCACCAGTCCCGTGACGTCACGCAGCCGTCCGCGCCAATTTGAACTCATCATAAAAATTACGATCCGGTCTCTACTCGATATGATTACGAGTGGAGCGACCAATCATGATGTTTCGCACGCACAACACTTGAGAAGTTATGATCCACTAAACTGGTGTGCCTACTGCAAATGTTATGATAGCGTTAAGTTATGTAAATGTCGGATCATGTCGTTGGTGGCTGGTGGGTCCGGCTGCCGTAGTTTGGCGCGCGGAGTGGTGCGGACCGCGGAGGTCGTAGCGGCTAATTGACTCGGCCGGTGGCCGCGCTGCTGCTGCGGGAAACAGTGGCATTGTGAAAACCGGCGCGCGTACGCGTGTTTTTCGCGCGACGCAACGCGCCATCTGTGCGCGATCTCCCAGACGGATCATATCGTATGCGCGCGCGCAGCACCGGTGACAATTTCGCATTTCGAAATCTCCGCGCGATTGCAGCGAACGTTGTTCCGTTGCGCTGCCGCCGGCCGTAGTATTTACGCGTTTAGTACCAGTGATTACGTGAAACTTGCGGCTAGAATGGAAGCGATGACCTCGCCGCGGATACCGCCGTTCCTCTGTAATGTTGACAGTTCGACCGATGAGGTGGTTTTGTGTTTGTTTTTCGTCTGCCGGTTACAGTTGGATGCAATTTTTTGTGTGAAATAGTGTGGAGCGTTCGGCTCAGTATTTCCGCGAGTCAACTTGTTCTTTGTTTATCCGTGTGTGGCGGTGGCGCCCGAGATAACGTCGCGTGCGGCTGACCCACATCAGGCCCGGGTTTGCACAAGGTGTGTGCGGATATTTCGAAATTTCACCCGTGGATGTAGTGCCGGCCGGGCGTCGTTAAACACGCACCGATAACACCGACTCCTATTGTGCACGTGTTTAGTTTGTGCCCGTCAACTTTGCGATATGTTTCCGATTACAATCGTCCGTTTGCAAATAGAATCGATATCGAATTCCATCGTGATCGCTTGTCTCGATCTGTGTTATTGTATGATCTCGGTTACGGTGAGCAGCAAACAAAGGATTTCTCTATTATGTTATCTGGCTTACCGCTGTGGGCTGTGGAGAAAACAGATACGACTGTGTGTACGAGACTTGAATAAGCTAGATTCTTTGTGCGTCCCGCTGCACGATACTAATATAAGTTGACCTTAACTTGTGATAAAAGTACAAAAAATGATGACGGCACCCTGAGACTGCGGACTTTGGATTTAATAAAACATATTGGGAGTGCTGACTGCGTTAGTCAACTGCACACAAAGGATTATTCGCCACTCTTGTATTATGTTTTTAACTCGACGACGCTTGGTGAGACAGCTTCAGTACATAAAACAGTCGAACACTCATTACAGTCACTTTATTTGTGTGTTAGTAGAAATAACTCACAGTATAAAGTGTCCATTTATTCGCGCAAAATTATTTAGGCCCTCACTCACTGGCTTTCCCTAGCTGTGTTAGTCGGTTTTTAGACTTAATGGAAGTTGTTGATTATCTTAAATTACGACTGAATTATTAAGTGCTCTTTAAAATACATTTTCAAATAACTATATGAGGGAAAAACTACCAATTTCCCTGGCATATTGGAAGCTTGGTGATGTTGATTTACTTACTTTAAGAATGTTGTACATAATGCCAAAGATACGATATCAATATCGGTGTTGGTTTAAGAGCTTTCTGACATAAAAACTCGTGCAGACTATCCACAAAGGACGCTAGCAGCTAATCGATTTACGACTTTATCCTTACCGGTACAAGGTTTAGTGTTATCTATGTGTACAGTGATTTAACATATTGATAGGCCAATAGCCTCCCTTCTGAAGCCTTGATCTCTCTACTCGGAATATTTCGGTATGACTCACAAACTATGCTGTATTTACATACATGATACAAATGCTATAATCGTTGTGTTGTTTGTGCGATAATCAACGTTATTCTGTTTTTGATAAAAGTGATAATTGTTTGATGTTGTTTGTGGCTGGTTGCAGTGCAGTGTAATTTATTTAGCTGTTGAACAAGTTTATGTTAGACCGACATCGTAATCGTTATGGGAATTATTTGTTTAAATAATAGTTGCTTTTGATAAGGATTATTTTTCCTGCGAGCGGTCGTGAATGTTGGTTTTGTATTATAATAACTTGTATGACTTTTATTTTGTTTTGAATGCTGACTTCCACTGAACTAAACATGTACTGCTTTATAAATAGAGGAAAAAGTAGTGTTTTCTTCTTCCTGGTTCGATTTCGAGACTTACCTAATTCATAAATGTAAATACCTCTATAGTTTGAAGACTTTATATTAGGTAATGTTTGCTAATAGAAATCTTAATCATCAAATAATATTAAAACAATATTTTTATTGGACTAGAAAGTACGTATTTATTATCTCTTAAACTAGTTTCTAAACTAGTCTCCTTTTTAGTCAACATGAATGTGTATATATTCATATGTTTAATAAGTAAATAAAAAAATGATCATTGATTGCACACTAGCAACCCGCCACTGAACAAAGATGAAAACCGTGTAATGCTACCATTTTTTTTAAAAGAGTAACGGAGGAGTATCTTTCTCGTTCATCGCCATTCGTAACACTTTGGAATGAGCACCTAGCTTTACTGACAGACTGACTGACAGATAATTCATTTTAAACATTTCAAAATTGCCTAATTAAAGATTAACTCGTCGAGTACCGGTTTTGTAGACACAATTATAGAACAATAGGTTGCGGTCACCGGTGACCGCTTGGTGTTTGACAGTTTAATGAAAAGAATGCTTTGATTTACATTTGTTTTTTAATCACGGCAGTGTCTTAGTGCTTAGATATGGTAGCAAAATAATAGATACACTAAAAATGGATACAACAAAACAACACGGAACTTTAATAATCCTTACTATCCTTACTAATATTATAAATCGGAAAGTGATTTAGTTTATTTGTTCCGCTTTCACGCCGTAACTACTAAACCAATTGCTTTGAATTTTTGCAGACGTAAAGTTAGAAGTCCGGATTATAATAATAGGGTACTTTTTATCCCGGATTAATTGATATTCCCGGGGGAAAACAAAAGTATTGGTATAGATGGCGCTGTGTCTTTTGATATATGTCACACGCGAGCGAAGCCGCGATTAAAAGCTAGTGAATTTACATAAAATCAAGTGATCCATTCACCCATAAACCTATACTTAAGTATCATTTTTATACGTGTGTCTGTGTGTTCGTTTTGAAATGTTACTGTAAGCGCACTTTCACTCAAGGCCGAAAATACCAATAACGTGTGTGGGCCACTGCACAACCGGTTGCAGTAAGTCAAATTTACCTCAGGAATTTGATGCAGGAAATGTGTTGGTCACGGGTATCTGGTTTGCAAGTTATGGTAAAAATATGTATCGCTTATATATAACGTCTGGAATTAATAGCTAGTTGTACACATATGTAAGAAGGTCCGCTTCTAGTCTCTTGTGTTATTGTAAGTCCTATAGAACATCCAGGTTAACTAAAAGTTTACATACTGGATGAGTTTTTATTTAGCTTCATTAGGATGCAGACCAACACATTTTACACGACTGCCATTCCCGAACTATCCCCAACATATATAATATATATATTCTATAGAAACTTTGCCCCACACTAGGGTTTTCTCCTGTGTCGTTGGTGCGTTTACAAACATTCAACTGACATCCAGGACCTGGAACAACAATCTGTGGATCACACAAAGAGTTGCTCCGTGCGGGAATCGAACCCGTGACACGTTGCGCGGCAGCCAGTTATCACTTACTTAATCGTATCATGATAATTGACACAGCTCACAAGATACTATCGAATTAAGTCCAGTCATTTTCGAGATTTTCTCTCAGCAACACATTGTAATTCATTAATAAATTATTTACAAAGATTATTGTCATTCACGAATAAATCATTACGTCAATAGACAATTAAGTTGTAATTTTAAAATATTATCGTTATTTATTTTATTAAGTCATAAACCATTGCTTCTAATGTGTCAGTTTTAATTATATCTGTCATATAATAGTCGCGCTTTGATATTAATTATGTAGTTGACAACATTATTGTCGGTATTTTTGTCACTAGTCGGTTTTACGAAATTTACTCTAATTATAATTGTATGTAGGTTGGTTTTCTAGTGATTTGACTTAGGTATCCATTTATCGATGGTAATTTTAATCGATTTTCATGAAATAATAATGAATAATTTATGGGATTATAATCAAGCTACTGAATAATTGTCGAGAAATAAGTATTATACCAATTTTCATTAATATTTTCTATCATTGTATTTATAAAATACGTAAAAACTGAACATGCAATTAAATAAAGTTCTAGATAAAGTCTGTGAATTCCTAGTAACAAAAAATATGTCCCAATTCACTGCAAAGTTACGTTTCTAGAATATTGTAGCAAAATCTCTGTGTTCGACATTAAGCCAGCATCTAACATAATCTCAATGACATCGCAACATGCACTCGACCGCAACAGTCAATGACCTCCCAACCTGATTGAATACAAACTTTACTACAACTCAAGGACAGTACCTACTTCACTTACTGTCAAAACTATACTGTGTACGTTACCGCGTGCAATCATCTGTCACTTTCCCGCTAATGTCAATTCGTTGTTGTTAGAGCGAGACGGTCGTAATCTAGACTTGTTGATCAAGAGAAAGTGTGTATTGTACGGATATAAGTTATTTATGAGTAAACAGTCCCACGGCGATAAATTGACGATTATAGGATGTGAAAATCATAAGATTTTAATTACTAGTTAAAGAAAAAGGTGAATCCAATTAACCTGATTTCCGTTAAAGGTACATATAGGCAGATGTTTTCCTCTATTCATTCGCACTGCATGGTTATATTACATTTTGCATATAGTATCATAATTAGGATACTAGCTTCTGCTAGCGGCTTCGCTCGCGTTTCCGTGGGATAAAAGGACATAACATAACATCACGCCTTTTATCCCCGAAGGGGTAGGCAGAGGTGCACATTATGGCACTTAATGCCACTGTACAATGTAACACCCACTTTTCACTATTTATGTTATGAGTCCCATGTAATAGGGGGTGAGCCTATTACCATATACTGGGCACATTTCCAGACTCCGTGCTACTACTGAGGATTTTACAAACCCAGTAATACTTTGCCCGACCCGGGAATCGAACCCGAGACCCCTTGCCCGGCAGTCGCACTTGCGACCACTCGGCCAATGAGGTAGTCTATGCCTTATTCCAGTCGCGGAGAACCTAACGGGTAACCGGGGTTCCGACTCGACGTGCAGGAGAAGGAACGGGGTGGTTTTTAGTCAATAGGAGTCTGACACTCCCTCCCGCCTCACCCAGGCGGGAGCAGTCATTCGATGATTTTCCCCCGTTAAAAAAAAATGCCTTATTCCAGACCACAATTTACCCCTGTTCCAAATTTCAATCCAATATCTTTAGGCCGTTTTTGCGTAAAGGAATAACAAAGAAACTTACAAACTTGCGCATTTATGATATTGATTCGATTAAAGTGGTGGACGCTACTGAACTCTTAGAGAAATCTTATGAAGTATTTTATTTTGTACGGACTTATTAAAACATTAGC